TTACTTGGATCTGAAGAAGTGAGGTTCTTACCCATGAAAGCTTATGCTCCCAATACTTCCGTTAGTCTTTAAGGTGCCACAAGACCCTCTGTTGCTTTTTACAGATTCAGACTAACACAGCTACCCCTCTGATACATGGTAGCTATATTATCCTACCAATACTTATATTTCTCTGCTGCATTTTCAAACTGATATGGAGGTACTCTTCACTTTGTGTCCTAAACTGGTATGTCATACTCCCCATGATGGGTGCTTTACAGAAGTAAGATGAAGTGATTTCTCAATCTTTAAAGTCCTGTAGGATCCTTTGAGGTACAAGATGCTGTACCAGTTTAACACATTTAGCAGTGAGCACTATCAGGCTGTGTACTAATCTCCCCAGTGAAGTGGCTGGAACAGAACCGAAGTGTATTAAACTCTAGGAAATGTGGAATACAGCCAAATCCTACACTGGCCAGGAAAAAGACTGGATGTCCTGAAAAAAGGTCTTCTGCATCTTAGACTCCTTTGATTTTATTATATTCTACTGGTCTACAATTTTTGAGAAGTCGTCTGCTTCAGAGATAAAATGTGCTATTTATTCTGTATTTTGATGTGCTGAATTCAAATATGACAATTAAAACAACTGATTGGCTACTATTTCTAAGATATTTAAGCTTTTACATTTTATGTCTATGTATATTGTGTAGATAGTAGAGTTTTAATCATAAATTGTAAACCTAGGTCTTTTCATGTGTTTATGGTTGCTTTACGTTATAATATTTCACCTGTCTTGTTTCTGTAACACTTTAAAAAGCAGCAAAAGGGTTATATAAATAAAATTTATTATGAAACAAAAGGCAAAAACTATTATGTACATAGTTTAGTCCTATTCAGTGTCTACTCGGCGCTTCTTGGCTTGTCTCTTGTATTCATTAAATGGAGCATCTCTTGTCACTGTCCAGCAATAGTCTGCAAGCATTGATGGGCTCCATTTGCCCAGATAGCGTCTCTCCATTGTTGCAATGCCCTGGTGAAATTGCTCGCCGTGCTCGTCGCTCACTGCTCCACAGTTCGGTAGGAAAAAAACGTAGATGAGAGTGCAAAAAATATATCTTTAGTGACATGTTGCAACCAAGGCTTTTGTATGCCTTGAGGAGGTTTTCCACCAACAACCTGTAGTTGTCTGCCTTGTTGTTTCCG